AAATGTTGTATATGTACATCTATGCACAGGAATGGCAAACGGAACAGTAGTCACCCAAGTGTTACCAGTGGTTTTCTCTTGGAGAGATTGGGGTGACTGAAATTTTTTTCTTCTGTTCACCCTTCTGTATTTTCTAATTTTTTCATAATTTACATACTATGTAATTAAAATTTTAACAGCTTTATTAAAATATAGTTCAAAAGCATATAACTCCATGGTTTTTATTATGTTTAGTATATTCACAGATGAGTGCAACCATACCTGCAGTCAATTGTAGAACATTTTCATTACCCCTAAAAGAAACCTATAGCTTTAGCTGAAGTCCGATCCCCAGCCCTAGGCAACCACTAATCTTTCTGTCTCTGTAGATTTCCCTGTTCAGGACATTTCATGTGAATGGAATGGTGTAACACGTGGCTTGTTGTCGCTGGGCTGCCTTTCAGTTAGCCTGATGTTTGCAATGCTCTTCCATAGTGTCGGATGTATCAGTGTTTCATTCCTTCTTATGGCCAAATACTGTTCCATTGCGTGTATATGTCACATTTTGTTCATCCATTTGTCAGTTGATAGACACTAGCTATGTAATTTTTAAAATTGTGTTTATTTTTTAAAAAGAATCAGTTGAAAGCAAATTGGTCAAGATGACGGTTGCTTCAAAGTGACTATTTCTGGTTATTTGTTTTGAGACTTTCCAGCCCGCGATGCCATGTTACGTATCAAACACTAGTTAGTGAAATAGCGAAACCGAGGACCCCACTGCCCTTTTCAAGAACTCAAGCCAGCGCCTTCAGAGGCTTCCCCGTGTGCCAGGCCTTGCTGCGGCTGCGGCTTGATTGTCCCATTGATTCTTTGCAGCCGACCTAGAAGGTGGATGCTACAACTGTGCTCATTTTAAAGATGAGGAAACTGAGGTTTGGGGAGGTTAACCGGCCTGCCCAGAGCCCCACATTTGGCTTTGGGGCCAAGATGAACCCCAGTATGAGTCAAGAGCAGCATTCAGAGCCAAACATGCAACCCCTTCTAGCCCACATATTGGTGTACTTAAACGTGAAAGGCAAAATAATGCTTAATAGTGTGGTTTTTGGAAAATATTTCTCCCATGACCTGTCTGCTTTTCTTTCATACTTTAGTTTTAAAATAACATTTGAAATCTGACTGCTCTGTTTAGGACAGACCAATTAAAAAAAAAAACTGTCAGGATTTCAATCCCGTTGGATGTTTTTTTCTACGTGTAGAGGGCTGTATCCAAATTGATTAAATACATAAAAATGCATAATTTGAAAATAGTGGAAAGTGGTTAAGTAGGTAAAGTAGGCATCATAGACTGACAATATATTTAAAAAGTAAAATAACTTAGAAGGCAGATAAAATCATCTTTTCAATTCCCCCAAAGTGGTAAAATTACCCTGTGGTATACAGTAGTGATCACGACGGGAAAAGATTGTGCTTAAAGCCAGAGACAAGCTTGGTATGCAGAGGAGGTATAGTTAGAAATAAAAAAACTGGAAATGAACAAAAGCAAAAAAGATCCAAAATTGTTCCAGGGTTCATAACAATTATCAAAGATTCCCCTAAAGTATAGATAGACACATTTACAAAAATGTTCCAATGTTACATTTGAAATAGGAAAAATATTCCATGGTACATAAAAGCTATGCTAAATAAAATGCCTGTGACTGGAGGTAGTTATCCACCGGTTCAACAAGTGTTTATTGAGATGCTACTGTGGGCTAGGCGCTGCTCTAGGCGCCAGGGCTACAGCAGACTGTGTCCGTGCCCTTGTGGAGCCGGCATTCCCACCATAGCAAGTGAACAGATGAAAAGATGACTTCTGATTGTGACAGACCTAACCACTTTGCCACACTGACCAAATCACCTCAGTTTGACTCAGCATGTGGGACCAGCTGAGAGGAACCAACAAGGTCTCATCTAGTCCTTCTCAAAGTTTGTTTTAGCAGCGGAACCTGTTGTTTAAAGGACATCTTCTGTGGCAGAGGGGGCTCTGAGGACAGTGAGCCAAGGGAGTAAGCCGTGCCCAGAGCCTCGGCCTGCAGCAGACACACACAAAACCCACGAAAGGCCAGAGCTGGAGGGGTGCAATCTCCTTGCACTGTGCTCCTCACACAGGATGCACACAGGACGTTGCCAGGTGTTACGTGAGAGGGGCTCTGTGGTGTGGCGTCACAGTGGGGAGCACTTGCTCTTCCCCGTGTTCGCGATTATGCACCCCTATCCTCCCTAACATAGTCCCTGGTGAAGGGGTGTCATCAGCACGTTTGTCTCCCATCCCTCCACCACAGCTGATTGGTCTGGGGGAAGAAGCCTGGCCTGGGCGGGACCAGTTGGCTTCCTCCACTGGGCCTTCGGGGCTGGCATGCTGGGAGCGGGGCCAGTGGTAGTCAGGCGGGAAAGAAGCGGCTACCTGCCAGTGGCCAAGTGCTGGCACCTAGAGGGTAGGGCATGGGCCCTGCTGAACCCTTTTCTGCCTTCCCTGAGACCCTCTCCCTGGCCTTTGTGAAGTGCTCTTTTGTAGCTTCAATAAGCTTCCCTTTGCTGGAGGGTGGAAGTGAATTTCTGCTCCTCACAATGCAGTCGCAATTACATGGTCAAATCAGTTGGAAAATTGGGTAAATAAAGCCACAGGGATTTTTTCATTTCAGGACTTTTCAGAGCCCTTAATATGCTAATATACATAGTGACTTTCCAAGATAAAGCCAAGGTCTGTGGTGTTCCCCAAACTCATGGGATACCCCACCTGGCTGGTGCTCAGCAGAACACCCTTTGGGGAGTGCTAATCTACTTACGCCCCCCTCACTGTACACATGAGGGAATTAAAGCACAGAGGGGGAGAATGAGTTACCCAAGGTCACACAGCTGCTTGATTGCAGAGAAGTCCTGGCGCCTAAGGCCTCCCAGTGTTCTCCCTACCACATTCTGATGGGCATTCGACTTCCTTGCACGGAGGATGTGCGTGCTGGGATTCCGAGGCCGAGGTGGGTGGTAGGAATGCAGGTCCGGCGTAGACACCAGGAATAGGGTGGGGTCAAGAATTGGAGGTCAGGCCTCAGTGAGAGAAACCCCTGTCTCCCTTAATCTTGGGTGATGGCAGTGGCTTCAGCAGCGTCTGAGAACCAGCAGAGGGCTTGGGGCTGGGCCCAGCTGCCTGGCCACCTCTATGGCATGGCCAGTAGCACGGCTCCAGCCACCTAGCCTTCCATGCCTTCTCCAGACCACAGGAAGGCAGAACAAGAAAGGCACTCAGGGCCCAGTCCGTGGCAGGGCCCGCCCCGGCGGCCAGCACCAGGATGACGCGGGCTGTAAATCACCGCGTGGACCACAGACCCAGTGCCATCCCCACGGGTTTCCTTTCCGCTTCTTAATCCTCCTCCTCAGACTGGGTAACAAAAAGCAGATTCCTGCTGGGGCCAGCCGTGCACAGTGGGCTGGGAGAATGTGAGCCTGGGGTTCACCACATCAAGATGCTCCCGCCTTCACTTTTCCTTTTTTCCCTTCTCAGCCACTATTAGCTGGAGAGCCCTCCCTCCCCCTGGCCCGGCTCCCTCACCCTCCTCCTCCGACCCCACTTCCAGCCTCCCCCAGCCTTGCGTCTTGGCTGGCTGCCCCAGGCCTGCGCGGCTCACCGGGGCCTGTGGTTAGCAGCCCTCCGGCGGCGTGGTTTGGCTCAGGCCCGGCTCCCCAGCCTCCGTCTCAGCAAGAACAGCCTCCGTGTGGCGGAACAACACTGCCGATCTGGATTCAAATCCTGGGGCTGGCGACCTCTAGCTCGTCCTTCTCTGAGCCCGCGATGGCTCACCCTTGCGATGGGTGTGAGAGCGCTCCCTGGCATGTCGGAGGTGCCTGACAGATGCTTTGCTTTGAAAATAGCTGCTTAGCTGTTGGTTGAGGGTTGCTGCATGAATTGGAAGAAAAGGAGTTGGAGCTGCTGTACCAGGTTAAGGGACTGTTGTCATTCTTTTTCATCTTCTGGGTGGACCTGGAGCCCTCACAGAACCTTCCCACTGGCTGTGACCTCCCCAGAGGGCTAAAGCAGCCCTCATCTCCTGCCCAGTCAGTTTTCTCAAGAGCAACATCAAGTTCTGCTGCTGGAGTGAAGATTCCGCAGGTCAGGGCTGCGAGGAACTTGAAAAAGGTCTAACCTAGCAGTGTCCACACTGTGCTCCTTAGCACAGTGGGCTCTCGAGTCTTAGAGTCTCCTTAGAGTCTCAGAGATGTCCCGAGCTCTTTGTTGGAGGAATGCAGTAGGACTCTGGGTCTCCCTCTCTGTGTGTCCCCCCACCCCACTACTCCAAATAGAACCATGTTTATCTGTTTTCTGTGTTAGGTTTCCACAGACTTCGTTCTACTGCTTAAAAGAAAGCTTGAAAATCATTGATCTGCTCTGGCTGGGCCATTTTACAGATGAGGAAGCTGAGGCCCAGAGAAGTTAAGTGACTTGTCTCAGGTCACCCAGCCTGCAGGTGAATGTGCTGTAACTAACATTGGCCTTGTGACTCCTGGTGTAGTGCTCTTGTCTGAACAGCGTAGGGGCCAAGGAACCACAGATGGCCATTCCAGTGGGTGCTGAACAGCCTGCAGAGGAGCCCTGTACCCCAGGGTGGGGACGGGCCTGACTCTGAGATCCCTCAGAGGTGCGACCCTGGAATTGTGGTGTCAGTACCAGGTGTCCCTGAGCTTCCGGAGGCCCTACCCTTTCCCTCAAACGATCAAAAACATCAGGGGCTCTGAAACGCCGAGGTGGGGAGAAAGGGGGCAGTGTGTGCTCTGCAGACAGCCGTCCTGGGTTCGAATCCTGGCCCTGCCGCTTACTGAACCCCTGAAGGTAAAGTCCCCTGCTTGGGCCATACAAGCCCCTCCAGGGCTGCTGCGGGGATTAAGTGAGAGGCTGTGCTGTGGGTGTCGGCACCTGGTACTGGTTGGCCTTCGGAAACAGGAATCAGGATGAATAGGGGCTGCTTCTAACGGCTGGTCATTTCTTTCAGGAGTGACTGCCCATGGGCTAGACCGAAGACGCTGCTGAGGGCCCTTTCCAGCGCGGCCTGAGGAGAAGGTGAGCTCGCCAAGTCCAGCCCGGTCGTCTTCTCCAAGATGCCACCAGGTGCTCAGCCCGCTGCCTCTCAGGGCCAGACAGGAGCACGCCTGCCTCCCTCCGGCCTTCGGCCCTTCCCCTGCCACTCTGAGGTGACTTCGCACTTTGCCCTCTGCCTGGGAACAGGGAGAGCTCAGCCTCCCCCTTGCCAGGGGCCTGAGGCCCACCAACCGGCTGCGGAAATCCATTGCCAAAGATTCAACAGAGACGCTGAACAAAATGGGGTGACGAAACCCAACAGTGAAAGGCCACACTGTCGCTCTGACCTCTGCCCCTCCGGTGGCCCGAGTCCCATCCCAAGCCAAGGACGAGTCAGCTGTTGCACCAGGAACTCATGGAAGGGATGGGCAGACCTCTGGAAGCCCGTGACCCTGAGCCTGCATGCTCTGCACTCGCCATGCACTGGCTGGGTGCGAGATAAGCCTGGACACCGGGAGGGGGAGGCTGGGGGTGCCTGGGGAGGTGGGGGTAGGGCCTGAGGTCCCGGCCCCTCTCTCCCACCCACGAGCTGCCCAGGCACTGGCCTCGATTCTCAGTGTTCTCTGGGCCCAGGCCCTTGGGCCCTGAGACTCACAGGAAGGGAGTAAGGGTGAAAGAAAGAAATATGGCCTCGTCCCCCACCCCAAGGACTTGCCCCGGGGCACTGCCCGAGGGTCTTTGCTCCCCCAGCCGCCACTCCCCCCCAGTGCCCACTCTCGTGGCTGGGCAAACCAGATGGCGCCCGGCTTGGAGGCCAGTATCTGCCACAGGTTGCTCGGGAGGGGCAGAGGGAGGAGGGGACAGGGCATCGGCCAGTATGTGGGGAGGGGGATGTTCAAAGCCAAGGCCTGTTCCTTCCTTGTGCTCCGAAGGCCAGAGCTGTTCACATCTGTGCTCAACCATCTGCTTCAAATTGAAGTAAAAGCCCCAACATGTAAAGAAAACACTTGCTTGTGTTGAGTGGACTCTGTGGGTGACCAGGACTTCGACTGGTCATTGGCTGGGGAGTTGTGAGGGAGGAGGTTGGTCTCCACCTGGAGGTCGAGAGCCCTTCAGAAGCAGGCAATATGTGAGTGTGTGTGTGGAAGGGGGTGGAGGGGGTGCCCGCCATGGCCTCAGCCTGGACTAGTGACCAGGCCTGGTTAGGAACACGTGAGGAGCCCTCTCCGCTTCACACCTCACTTAATCCATGCCATGAATTCATGAGATGGGGAACACTATTATTAATCCCATTTTACAGATGAAGAAACTGGGGCCTCAAGGAGCTAGCCAGCCAGCGACAGAGCCAGTTCCAGAATCAGGATGGCCTCACTCCAAATCCTGTGCTCTCAAACCCTTTCCAGCTCCTTGCTGGTCCCCAGAAGTCTTTGTGTGACCTTGTCCCATCACTCCACCTCAGTAGGCCTGTCTAAGATATGGACAGTGAAGGCCCACTGGGGATGGCAAAGGTTGTAAGGTAAGAAATGGGCCAGCACTGTCAGGGCAGAAGGGGCAGAGCTGCTCAGGGAGAGGGAGAGGGACAGCCAGAGGCTGCAGCCAGGCGGGACGCACAGTCCGTCCCTTGGTTTCACCTGGTGTCACCTTCTCTTCCCTGCCTCTCAGACTCCTGGGTGGGCGCTGGCCAGCTGCAGAGCCCCCTCCTCTTGCACTAGTGTTTCTCAGGCTTGGCTGTTTACCAAGGACCAAGGCATGTGGGCTGTGCCTGGATCCCTGAGCTGGCCTAGAAATAGGGGACACAGGCTGTTCCAAGTGTTCCTCAGAGCAAAGGTGCTCTAGAAGCAGGCCGGACAGAGGAGGCTTGGAATGGGGCCAAGAGGGGACAGTTAGGAAGGGTTAGCCACCCTGGGACCCCAGGTACAGGTAACGGCACCACTAGGTTGTCCCTCTGAACCTCTGAGTAACCGTGGTGGCACTTCCTAGGGAAGTGGGAAATGTCAACCAAGCTGTTGGCATAAGAGAACCCCTTCTGTTACTAAAGGGCATGGGGGGGTACCGTCATCCTCTGCCGGGGAGGAGATCCATGGCCCCGCCACTTAGCAACAAGCCGTGGCCTCCACTTCCCATCCCTCTCCCGCTTGTGGTCTTCATTACATACTTCCCTTTCGTTTTGAAGCGTCTGTTGATCGCCAGCTGCGTGTCAGGCATTAAGCAGGCACTGGGAATGGAGAGACAAGTCCTACAGAGTGCGTCTTGTCACAGAGCTCATGGTTCTGTGCAGGGGATGGGAGAGACAGGCAGACAAGCAAATAATTGTGATGCAATCGGATGACTAAAGCGTTGTTGGGAGCCTCAGGAAAGAGAGAACTAACTCTCCCTGGTGGTAGCCAGGGGTGAGGGGTATCAGGAAGGGCTTTCCTGGAAAGGGGCCATGGGAGTTGGGTCTTGAAGGTTGAATAGAAGTTTTCCGAGCAGAGGAGTAGGAGAAAGGCTTTTTATGCAGAGGAGTATTCAGCCCTGGCAGGACATTGGAATCACCTAAGGAGATTATTAAATATTAATATAAAGTATTAATGCCAAAGTCCCATCTCCAGAAATTCTGATGTGTTGGTCTGGGGTATGGCCTGATCATTGGGATTTTTACAAGCAATTTCAATGTGTAGGCAAGGTTGGGAGCCACTGGTCTGAGTGGGCTCAGGTCTCCAACAAGAAAGTGATTTAGAGCTACTGATGTGGGATACAGGCTGTGCCAGAAATGTAGATGGACGTGTGTGTGTGTGTACACGGATGTATGTACATGAATGATAAGTTCATGCTTTTCTTTTCTAGCTGCCTTCTCAGTACAGCAACTTGTGTTCTTATGCACGCACATGCACGCACATTCGTACTCCCTCTTGTGTGCACATGTGCATCCAGACACATAGTGTGTACATTCCCAGTAAATGGACATCCATTTCAGGTAGATTCAAATTCCATGGCAATCTTTTTTTTTTTTTTAAGACAGTGTCTCACTCTGTCACCCAGGCTGGAGTGCAGTGGCATGATCATAGCTCCCTGTAACCTCAAACTCCCAGGCTTGAGGGATCCTCCCATCTCAGCCCCCTGAGTAGCTGGGACTACAGGTGCATGCCACCACACCCAGCTAATTTTCAAATTTTTTGTAGAGACGAGGTCTCACTGTGTTGCTCAGGCTGGTCTTGAACTCCTGGCCTCAAGTGATCCTCTCAACTCGGCTTCCCAAAGTGCTGGGATTATAGGCATGGGCCACTGTGATATTCTGGCACTATTCTAAACAGTTTTATGCAAGCAGCCATGCAAGAAGACCCTCAGCAAAATATAAATTATGAAGAACTGCCTCGGGGGGCCTTGGGATGGCATTTTCCGTTGAGGGTTTGTGATCAGAGCCACCTGCAGATATATTAGTGGCACACTCTCCTTGCTTTACTTTTTGTTCCGGGTCATCAGGCACAGGCCACAAAGGGACTAGGGGATCCTCTCCAGGGGCCCCTGTGACCTGTGTGGATGTGTCTACCTGGAGCCCCACGTGTGCCCACGCATCTGCATGTTTGCATGTCAGGTTCCTGCTCTCCGCAGGGCAAAACCCACAAAGAATGTCCCTGGGAGTTGGAGATCTCAGCTCATAGGCCACACTTTGCAAGATGCTTCAAAAACTCTGTGTCCACAGGCTATGTGCTGCTTCCTGGGTCTGGCCTTAGACTGTCCCAGAGGAGAGGGTTAAGTTCTGGAGAGGAGGCTCCCAAGCGGGTGTCCATCTCCCCATGCTATATCTTCCTGTCCATAGGGCCATATCCTTCAAGGCCCTGTGCTGTTCTATTTTTTCCCGGTTACTCCACCCTCACTGATCTCCCCTTTCTCAGCCACTGGAGGCACAAGGGGGCAGGTCCCAGAGCCAGGCACTGGGTAGAATAGCCAGGTGCAGGGACTGTGCTGGGAGCTGCAGGTACAGACAGAGCCTCTCTCTGCTCAAGGGCTTGCCCACACAGGTACAGCTGAGTAGGGTGACAGGCACCATGCTGTGGTCAGCCGTGGGAAGGTGGCTGAGGAGCTGGAGCAGGGGCTCCACTTGCCTCCCTCCTGTGCTGCTGCCTGAGCCACAAAGTGATCATTGCCAGCAGCCCAGGTGACAAACAGCAAGACTCGGACATGACCAAGTATTCCCTTCAGGTGGATTTGTACTGCCGTTCTCTCTCTGCCCTCTTGCTGCCGTGCCACCTTCCAGCTGCTGTTTCCCGGCTCTAGGAGGACTGCAAGGCACAGGGGCCCTGCCTTGCAGGGAGGGAGCTGGCTTCACTCTTTGCCCCATGCGTTTTCACCCTCCCCTGAGTCTCCCTTCTGGTGCCCTGGACCCCTGACAAGCTGTGTCTGCCTCTCTGAAGCCAGGCACCCCAAGGAACTTAGATTGATAAATAATGACTTTGTTTTACAGATATGTGGGCACATTTATCTAATCTCTGGATGACACTATGAATTCCTGGAGGGCAGAGATTAAGTATAATTCAACTCTAAATCCTCAAAAGGCCTTGCAAAGTGTATATATGGGTTTCTTCGTTGAATGAATGAATAAAAAATGGAAAATATGGTAATTCACTCATTTTTGTTTTCTTCCTTCCACGAATAACTACCAAGCAACTCATATACTCAAGATCCTTTTAGGAAATGGGACCCAGGCCAGACAACCTTTTACAAGGCTCCAGAGATGCTCGAAGGGAGAAAGGTCAGGAGCAGAGAGAAGCCCGGCCTTGGGCCTCTTCTCTCTTTATGGAGAACCGAGCTCCGGTGAGGAGGACACGTGAGCGTTGATCCAATGCGTGTGGATGAGTGAATGAACATGGCCATGCCCCTCACAGCCCCGCCTCAGACATCACTAGGCAGTAGGAGCTCTTTCTTGTGGGGCCCTGATGCTGCCTGAATTCCTCTCGAGACAACGCTGCAGGCAGTCACTACTGCTCGCTTGAAGAGGTGAGCCCTCTCTGCCACCCTGGTCTCGTGGCCTCCCTGGAGGGCGCTACCAGGATGGTATGTGTGAGGACACGTCAGGACTTCCACCTTCGTTATTGCTCATGGGGCCATGTACCTGCCTCCTGGCTGGCCTCCCTGTTCTGTTCCCTTCTGGTCCTTCCCCTGCCATGGCTGATGGACGTTTATTTCCAAAGTCCCTGTCTGGGCCCATGGCCTCCTCCGAGCTGTAGTTCATGCTCCGTAGCTGCCCGTCATCATGGACAGTGCCACCAGTCATCTCCTCCAGGCCTCCGTCATCTGCTAGTCTTCACCAAGTCTGGCCATGTCCCCGGTGTGGCCGAGTCCCGCCCTGAGACATCATTAAGCAGCCCCTCTTTCTCAGTCATGTCCCTGTTTCCTTTGCTCTGACTGCCCAGGAAACAAGATTCTTTCTGGACCTTGGTGTTTGCTGCGATGGAAATAGTTCCTTTTTG